GAAAAAAATATCACGTGTATATCATTAAATGCTCTCTGTAGGTCATTGATCCACTTTAATGAACGTTGCCTTTTAATTTTTACTATTGCTTTACTCGTATTATTATTATTTATTTGCAGAAAAATAGTAATTCGTGTTTGTTAATACTATTTAAATACTGAACTTTAAAAAAAAAATCTTTCGAAGAGTTTAAACGTAAATTTCAAATGTTGAATTCAGTAACTGACTTTCTAATACATACAAATTATATAATATTGGTATTTATTAGTTACCTACCTTTATTATCTGTATTTAAAATTTATTTTACTTTAATCAACTTTCATTCCGAGAAAGATAGAGAGATATAATATTATTAATTACATATTATGTACTAGGTATTGTATATCCTTTATGACCAACTAACCATGGCTTCGAATTTGTTCACATACCTAGATAAAAAATAACCTATGTTCTTTTTTACGTTAAAGCTATTAACTGTCCACTGCTGAACATAGACCTCTCCTATAAATACTACTTTTTCTTTTCATATAAGAGTTTCCTCTTGTCGGTGCAACTAATTCATGCATCTTCCAGCCAGCTCTATCCCAGGCCATATCCTTGACCTCCCTATACGACATGACACCTAGTGTTTCTTTTATCTGTCCCATGTAGTTATTCCTCGGTCTTCTTCTATTATATATGAATTGACTTCTATTAATCATAAATAGAAGTCAATTCATAATATCATAAAGTTAGTTAATTATAAATTTATTTAATGCGTTCATATTGTTTAAAATCATATTGAATCATCCTGTTCGCAACGGACCGGTCTAGCATGAAGAAATATGTTTTTTTTTTAAATCAATATAACAGAGCGTGGGACTGTTTACTTTGTTTACGATATACAAGTAGCTTTATGTTTATTTTTCCTAATTGTTTATTTATTAGTGACGTGATGATATCACAACTGTTGTTTTTATAAATAATCGTTTCTTAAAACATTTTTTTTTTCCTTTTTAAAAAAATATAAACATTAAAGACGTACTTATTTCATACGCCTATTTTGCTCAGCAATAAATAAAAATAAATGTTATGTCCTTTACAATATAAAGTGAATCAATAATATCTACAAACTGTTTTAATTTGCAATCTATAGCATTAGTAGATAGTTTTTGATAAATAGCGCTATGACAGATGGACGGACAACCATAAGGATTTCTTTATATTTCTTTGGCAGGAAATCTTAAAACAGCGACTTCAATTGTGACAAAACTTACTTATGAACAACGGATTTTTTGTAGACACATTAGATTGAAGATATTACAGCATCACACATAGCATATTTGCTGTACGAAACATTTTTATTTATACCAAACTCGTTTCCGTACCAAATTCCATCCATCCATTTAAAAAATAAAACATAAATTGCGATATCTATTTAATTCTATGTCTATGTTCTTTTCCGATAATTAGACACCATTTTTATGGCCATAGAGCAGTTCGAATTTAAAAAAAGAATCTATTGATATTCAATCAGTTGAAAATTTAAAAATATTATCATTTAAAGTCTTATTTAAATTAATATTGAAAGAAAAGAAGTAATAAATTGATACAATCTTTAGTGTTGTGTCGATTAATGTCACGAATCGGTCTACGTGTTCGATTAATAATGTGTTTGCCCCGAGAAACCTGTATCGTTAATTGTGGTGTTCGTTTAAAAACCGGTTATTGAGTTTCTGATGAAATATTTTGATATTTTACAATTTTATGAAAACTGTACATTAGAATATAATACAGCTCTTTCGATTAACATAATCACATGTATTTTGGTCCGAAATAAAATTGTGTACTATATTTATGATCTTACAATCTATTGGCTAGCAAGAGTGTATCTTTGTGCACTCTTTTCTTATTTTATCTTTGATGTCTCTGTCTATCCCGCAACACACTTGTCGTGAAGATAAATAGATAGATATACTAATTTTTACCCGCACCTTCGTCCGCGTGACCGGGATAAAAAGTTGCCTATGTCCTTCTTCATCCTCTTTTACTACATATATACCAAATTTTATAACGTTTCATTAAGACTTTAAGATGCTATGTTACTCTTTTACGTAAAAACTAGTAAATAAATTTGAATGAAATTTGGTACACAGATAAATTATATCCTAATACACATACTTGCACATAGAATATTTTATGTACTAATTACCGTAGGCGAAACCGCTGGATATAGCTAGTTTATAATATTAACAAGGATACTTAATAAAAATACTCAAACTTGTACAGTTTAAACGTTTACACGGTTTAAAACTATACAAGTTTGTAAAATATATTTTACAAGAGTGTAAATAAACTTTTTTATTTGTAGCTACAAGTACATTACACAACAAATAATAAAATTCATGTTTCTTTCAAAAACAATAATATTATTTATTACTTCATATATTGTCCTATTTATAAGCAGGCATCCCGCCAATAAGCAAATAGCAAGCACGGGATGCCTGAACAAATCTACCTCCAACTATTAAAAAAAAACATACATACATACTTACATATCTGTCACGACTGCCTCCCATTAGGGTAGGCAGAAACAATAGAACGCCAAACGCTTCGATTCAAACCGATCTTTTTCGCTTCCACATTCATCGATCTTTTCATACGCGCTCCACGGTTACGGGTACTTTTAATTTGATCCTTCTTCAGCACGTCGCCTATTTGGCCAACATACATTCGTCTAGGACGCCCCCTACCGACATTTCCATTTATGCATAATTGAATATATAAAAATATTAACTTAAAATATCTGTAACCATTTGGAAATTGCCTCGGCTATTAGTTATCTATGAATTTTCTGTTGTAGCGTTAATTGCATGTTTTGTGATAAACTAGTTATTTGGAATTTTCCTCTCTATAAATAGTTCAGAACAACAGTGTTCAATTTGTAGATAAATTGTTACAATAAACTTCACTTTGTACAAGAGTCGCCTGCTGGGTACATCTGTCCCATTCATGTTTCTGCCTTGAAGTAGTTGTTTGCATGGTTGCGTTTCAGTTTGAAGAGTGGTATGTGGTAATGAAACTATAGGGTACGGAGGCATAATGGCTTACTACTCAGAAATAATAATGCTTGAAAGGTATCATGAGCAACACATTATATCTGTTATGTCCATGGTACTGTTCATGTCTTAAGGCAACGGTTACCACTTTTTTTTTTGTATATTATTAAAATATCCTTCATTGGAAATCCAATTTTAATAATTTATAGGTAGTGAGCTGGTCTTGTTTGATCAAAATCAAAATGATGGACTTCATTTGAAATACTTCATCATCATATTGTAAAGAAAAATACATACAAAAATAGAAAGACCGTTGTTAAAAAATTATGTTGTATGTACCTGGTCAAGTTATCATAAATTATAAATAGGTACATAATAAGTATCATTACGATAGTTTAAGTCAACAGTTTCCTTATACTAATAAAACTGGAAATAAATATATGTAACCATCTAGAAGTATCAGCACTATAAAATAAATAATGTTTATAGTACTGTACAACTATTTACAATATCGATTTGAATAAAATATCAATATCGACAGCTATCATAAAAATCTACATTGCATTCTCGTATAGATTAAAAATATATCATTATATTTTTATTAGAAATAAATTCTAAATGCGCCTAAGTCTCACTGATCATGAGATACCGCTTTCCCTAATCAAAAATTTAAATTTAGAATATTTCTAAACTTCGCCGAGCGAACATTATATTTTTTACCGAGTCGATATTAATTCGAAACACTTCATCGTTGTTATAGATGCGATGCGGTTCATTTATTTATTTGTACACATAAAAATATTAAAGGACATGTCTAACAAAGAGCTAGGTCATGCAGGTCGCGGCGGGCGTTGCTCAGTTGGGAAAAAAATATTGCAAAATCATCGCCGGTGCAAAAACGGCCAGTATCAAACCCGTGTCTGACTCACATACAAAATAACTATAATAAAAGGTTTCTTTTGAAACCACTGTTATAAGTTCGTTGGTCGTTTCGTATTACGGTGATTGTCTGTCGTTTGTCACCTCGCCGGTATGGTGTGACTACCGCGCGTTGAATGTGACACATCGGACATTAGCGTCCACTAAAGTCTAAATAAAAACCCCAATTTTCTTGTCGCGTCAAATTGCTATAAATTATAAATTGTTACCAACAATGTAAATTATTCTCGGATGTTGTTTGATTTTATGTTCACCTTCAGCGTCAGTTTATTCACCATATTCACTTCAGTCAGTTATTGACCATATCGATAGATTTACATTAATAAACAAAAAAAAAGAACAAGATGTTTAGCCAAAAACTAAGAAGAAGAATAAACTAAAATAGAACGTAGTTAACTAAATTATTCACTAATTTTTTAGGAACCAGAAAAAAAAATATTACACATATTTTAGTCTGCCAAATATTTTTATGATTTAAGGTTTTTATATTTTCGGTAATCCACTCATGCCTAGGCCTACTATAACTGGATTGTTTTTTTTTTTTTACTCGAAATATATTTTATAAATAGAGTTTTTGTACTCGCAGTAATAATTCTACGTTTCTGATACTTTCGCGACCTCCATAGTTACATCGTTAGTTATGTAAATAGACGTTATTCTATTGTTAAGTTAGTGTACACAAAAAATGTAAATGGAATATAAAAAGCATCGTGGTTAGATACAAATATTTCAACTAGGATAAAGTGGTCGCAGTTGACCGAGGCAAGGTCGCGCGGATTTTGAACTGCGAACAAAAAATCATTCCACATTTAAATGTTGCATTATGACTTTGCTGATTGATGGGTTTTCTTTTCGTGCGATTGATTTGTATTTTTTTTTTTTATTTACTCATATTTTTTGTTCTTTATCTCATTCACGGCTCCATTTATAGCCGGCCAGTGTCGTTATGCTGCATTTTTAAATTTTATTCTTTTCTGTTACAATCAATTGTTACGATACTAATGTTGCACTCTTTTGTTTCAGGTTGTTAACCCGTACATACCGCTGTTAATTTGCAGTAAGCATTTTCAAATATTTCTTTATTATAGTATAATCATTACCAATTTATAATTAATTTAGTTTTTAACGCCTCCGATGCCCGTTATGCATATCGGTCGTATACAGGCCCTAGAAGAGCGTCGGTTTCATTGTCTTTCTGTCCGTCATGAGTCACGCTATTGTTGAGTTACACAATAGATGTCTTTGTGCATTGTGCCTCGGGGACCCTGGTGTTACGTATTTTGTAATTAGTCGACGTCTATTGGACTCGCTAATGACACATATTGCTGTCCATGCACGTAGTTACACCGCTAGGGTTACCGCCACTACAGAATTGACCTATTTTTTTCTTTATTCGGAGAGTACCATAGATTTTAGAATATTTTACTGTTCAATCAAACTATTATATTTCTTTTTTTCGTAAATGATTTAAATTAATTCTTTCCTTACTAATATTATAAATGTAAAAGTAAGTTTATTTGTTTGTTACTTACGATTTGACTCCTCAACGGCTTAACTAATTACAATAAAATTTGTTATACGATATAGGACAGAGAAGGACATATGTTACTTTTTATCCCGGGTACTTAGACGAAATCGCTAGTTAAAGCTAGTAAACAAAGATATAGAATGAATGTGGCCGAATTAATAGTGGCATAGATCATAGCCATATTTCTTTTTGTAGTAGGACATCTAAACATGTATTGAACACTTGTCTATCGCAAGTTTAATTTTTTTTTTTTATAATAAGACGGAAACTGTTAATTTTTAAATTTAATTTTTAATTAATCATACTTTTTCCAGTCGATGGATATAATAATGTAATGATCTACCACGAATTATTTTTTATGTGATACAGAGCAAAACATCTCATACGGCACGCGTTATAGGGGATCGCCCTTAAACATCTCGCGTTTTGAACTACAAAGGGCAAAAAATGTGAAAGGGCCAGAATATAATAGATATGCGAAAACTCAATCGTGTACGCTCCTAACAATAAAACCCAATGAGCGTGTTCGAAATGCGAATCGGCCAGTCGATTATAACCTTTCGACCATTAACAATATGAATTATTTTTTTAAGCATTTCGAATTTAGAATCCCCTTACCAAGTTCTAAGCGCGGGCAACTTGTAGGCGGGAAAAGTGGTCGTTCGTTTAGATATGTCAAAACAAATTAGCAGTGTATGTCCGTACATGTGCGAATGTGTGCACGTATAGTGAGTAGCAGTATTCTATTTCCCTCCGATTACGTAGGTGCGAATAGGACAGCGATAATAAACGAATATTGAATATAATTTATGGCCGCAGTTTTCCCCTTTGGGCGTTTAATCGATGTGTGGGCTACGAATATGGAGTTTTATAGTTGTCTTCAAATATTTATATTTATGGTGTGTCCATAAGATTTTCTTTTTTTTTAATTTCATTATTTACATAATAATGAAATTCTAGCAGATGTTCTAAAACTAGTCAGTGTCTGTACTAATATTACAAAGAAGAAATATTGTTTTTTTGTATGTTTGTTTATTTGTTTGTAATGGATAAACGGAAGAACTACCCAACCAAAATTTAAAAAATTCCTCCATCTATAAAAAGCTAACGTTATTAGCGAGTTAACAAACGCTATATATTATTTAAAAAAAATACAGTTCCCTACGAAAATTACAATAATGTAATTCAAAGTAACAAACATTTGCCTATTAAAACTAATTAATATATAATATTAATTTATCATTCTATCTATCTGCCCGTACGAAACCGGAGCAGATCGCTAGTGTTAAATAATTTAAGCAATAGCAATTTCGGTCGATCAATCGCACAACTGTTTTCGACAACGAAATTGCTGAGTAGTGTGTGTAAACCATTTGTTATTATTCCCATAAGGGTATTTATTATACATGAATTGCTTTGAATCTTTCTTTAGTAAGTATCTTATAACGCGAACCAACACGCGACCCTACAAAAACAGTCAAATGAAATTTGTATTACTTCGAAAAATCAAATATGTGGGCAATTATCTAGCTCCTAAGTCGATTATGTCCAAAATTCAAATAATTTGTTTGGAAAATGTTTACTTATAAAACCTATAATTGGCCATCTATTTTTTTCTTTTTTTATTATCATTATTTTTTATAGTAAAATTGCATAGCTGTTGATTTTTCTGCAATATAATAAATAAAAGATATAGAAAATAAACCAAAAGCCAAATAAAAACATGTAAGTAATAAAATAATTTTATTTAATATTATTACTAGCAATTTAAAACGATAGTGCTCCAAACATGGAACAATGTAAAAAAAACACCTAAGTAGTTAAGTAACTCTGTTTTTTTTTTTATAATCATTAAGAATGTAATTTAACACAACTCTATTGGTAAAATACGTAATTATGAAACAATAAATTACACAAATCAAAAGCACCGCAAAATCGAATTAAAGAACTAAAATTCGAATTACGAAATTGCTTATAACTAATTCAAATATCGAATGATGAGTCGAGTGGGTGGCGACGCGTTCGATGATGGGGTAAAAATTACCCCCGGGGATAATTCGTGGGGTATTCGCCCTATGTGCCACGTATGTGTGTGTTTGTGTGAAAGAGGGTATGGTAATAGTATATTTCCGTTGTCGTACGGATCCCTCCATTTGTAATAGTTTATGTGAAATTTGCGATTATGGGCTCTTGAAGTGAGATATATTTTAGATCTGATATCACTGTACCTTTATATGGGAATCGATGTTCTCAGAGCTATCAAAAAAGAAAATAACTTTTCGATTAGGTTTAAGTTTATAATTATGTCGTTACTTTGTTACATGGTATTGATTGCTTTTTTAACCGACTTCAAAAAGAAAGAGGTTCTCAATCTGGTTATTTTATGTTTCGTCATTATCGTATCAACTTTTAACTGTCCACTATTGAATGTAGTGGACAATATGGCTTTCCCCATAAAGGGGATTTATCCAGTAATTGCCACACTGGTCGCTTCTTACGACAGCCATGGATAAGCAAGGGGCGGTCCATTCTATGCCAGGACCACACGGATTTTTTTACGTTTGTCTCCTCATAACTCCATCAGTTACAAACCGATTTGGAAAATTCTTTTTTTATCTGAAAGGATATACTTTACAGATTGAGGATATATTTTTTTTTTCAAATTCAGTTCAGTAGTCTTTAAATAAAAAAGAGAACTGGTTTTGCTCGAATTAAAATATTTTATTGTTATGGAACACAATCTTATATTATTTCTGCATTTTTTTTTTATAAATTATACAGTTATAAAATCGTTTATGAATTTCATTAAAATTTAAAGACAAATTTCAAGAATAACATTTATTTATTTATTTATTTATTTATTTATTCCAGAATAGATTAATATTTAACGTGTAAAGATTATTTCAAACGCAACATAAACTATTTTTATATTTTTTTACATTTACGTTAACGATTCCATTTTTAAATTTCAAATCTCAGTTTAATATTTCTCAGTTTCCAGCAGGTGATTACAATATAAATTACAAACAAACATCACACCGAACACAGATCACGAGCGTTAACTACGATTGCATACAAACCGAGGGACGTACAAAAATATCACTTATGTACTTTTACATTTTTATTAGCATCCATAAAAGTAACATATAACGTACGAAATGGCCATTAAAATGCAGCCATTAACCGCCTCCCTGAAATAAACCGAAAACGACTGTTTGCATTTTAGCGGCCCGACAAATAACGAGTGCATTCTCGGTTGAAACAACGCCATAATTCAAAATAAAATGGCGGGGCGAAACAAAGCAACTCGAGAGTTTGAACTGCAACTTAACACATAATTACACAAAACGTTTAACTTCACCCTTTTGTTAAAATAAAATATAACACTTGTTAAAACGATCGATTTTAAACATTGCGACGCAACATTTGATTAAGGTGTCTTAACTAATTCTGTCTGATACTTTATCTTTTAATTTACCAGAGTAGACCCATTTACACATTGAAATGTTTATATATATTTTAATAATATTTATAAATAAGTAAGTATGATTCTTTATCACGGGACCGCCATGTGGTCCCGGCATAGAATAGGCCACCCCTTCCCTTCCTGTGAGTATTTTAAGAGGAGACTATCGTAACAATGGTAGAGGTATAGGCAACAGCATCCCTCTTAGAACATAACTAAAAACTTACTTGATAATCCGTGTACCAAACGTGGCAACTACTGGCATAACTTTCTTTCTGGGGAAGGCTTATGTTCAGCACTGGGCAGTTAATTACATTATCATCATATCAGTGATGATGATGATGATAAAGTATGATTCAAATACCTACAATAAAATTCTCTGCTATAGAGATACAATGTTCTTAATTGCCTCTATAAAATTTGAATATGCCAAGCGTAGGAAATGTCTTATAAACGTATGCATGCTTGCATTCAATGACTTGGCAAGAGACTAACTACTTTTTCCATTCGTACATGGCTAATATCTTTCCAAGTAAAATTTTATACTTTCTAGAGCAATAAATTGATTGCCACTTTAATTCAACACGTTACCAAAGATATAAGAATAAAGCAAACAGACCGAACACTTGCTTCTTGTCCTTACATATATTGAATTATTTATTTTCTATTCTATCGATTCATCGCCAGATATCACAATGCGGTAAATCTATTTATTGTCGTCGGTCACACGCTTTCCACATTACGTCCAGTTTCATAATTCAACTGGGCAAACGAATCATCGTGTACAGCTATTTTTTCACCATCTATGGTAAACAAGTAAAGTACGCAAGCGTCAAACACGTATTTATTGGACATTCGCATCGCCGTGTCAAGCGTAGATATAGAACTAAACTGCTCACAGACACGCGAGCGTTACTGCCTATCACGTTTCTCCGGATTCCGTTTTCGCTGCTCGAGTTTATATGTTATGTACTCGTATGTCGTGTGTAGACGCACTTATTGTGCGTTGTTGCGTGGCGTTTCAATAGAGACGTTCATACATATTTAGTTGGAATTAGGCCTCGGAAATTGGATTAATGGCGTTATACGTTACTTTCACGGCGACGTGTTCGTAAACAACGAACTTTCTTCTCCCATATAAGAAACGTTGCGGGATGAAACGCGTAAATCCTCGCTAGGGTTATTTATCTACATCCCTTTCTCATCTACATCTGTAACGGGGGTTGGGTAAGCCTCAGATTTGCGAACTAATTTCAACTGCAAATCCTTAAAATGAGTGGGATTTGTTAAGGCGACTCGTCTGCGGTGCGCTGGGTACCTTTATAATGCAATCACATCTTCAGTATTCATTTACCAGCTAAACACATATTTTGATATCATTCCCATCTGTTTTTATGACTTTTATTCCGTTTTTAATGCATTATATGGGTACAGGGTTAGTCAGAAAGGGTATACCACCAACATTATTACTAATAATATACATATAAACTGATATTATAAAGAGGGAAAATTTAATTTTTGTTTTTAAACTATTTTTAAGAATTCTTTCACTTATAAAAATCTTCTTTATCAACGAGTAGTAAGACAGTATTTAATTAAAAAAAAAACATGTGTGCGAGGTCGATATGGATCATTTATTCTGAATAAATTTCTTGATATCATTATTAACAACTTTTTTTATGAAAGTATAGTCATATTTCGAAAATATTTTTCGAAATACACAATGTGATCAATTCAGTGTTTAAAAAAATATATTCCACTGGAAAATAAAGTAAGTTGTTCAGTTTTACAAATACCAACTATATTTAAAAAAGTTTCATAATTGTCTGGACCGTCATTGCCATATAATATACTACTAAATGACTGGTCTAAAATTGTCCTTTTCGGTAAACCCTATATTAACCGACTTCAAAAAAGGAGAACGTTCTTAAAGAACTTGGACTATTTGAAACAAAACTGATGTAATGATTAAACTTCGTAGCGTCGAAAGTAATTAATGTGTAGGAATTTATTTCGGTTATTTATATCTCTCATGTTGCCATTTTGACTCGTAATAAATATGATGAATTAATTAACCAGTAATATAATAATGCAGATAAGACCGTCATAAATACAGTTTCCATTGCTGGTCTTACGTAAAAAAAAAAACGCGTTTTTGTTTTTATTAAAGACGAGGGTCCAAGTAAGTTGGCTTCTACCACCCGTCGTCAACCTAATTACAAGTAGGGTGCCGACATATGAATTACTCGGCTTTTGTTATGGCTCATTAAAATTGAACTTTAAAGAACACGTGTTAGTACAGTCGATAACAATAATTAAAGATTTTACTCTACGAAAAAAAACCTATTTCATTCTTGACAATATTAGCATGATATTAAAATATGAAAATTAATAAGAAATCAAAATCCGTACAGAATTAACCAACATTAAAACATACAACAAAAAAATTAAAACAAGTATATATATTCGAAATAAGCATTTCAGTTCTAATCATTTTTCAATACTTCACAGTCCCTGTTGTAAAATACTTCAACTAGAAAAATCATATTTGCAATGTTCATCTACTTTTGTAGATAACTGTACATTAAGATAGGTGGTAAATATTAGAATGCCAAATGAATGAACACTCATTGGTTTTTGCTACTAAAGTTTTCTAATTAAAAAGTAAATGAGACTAACAGTGTATTGAGTTTTGTTACTTGATTATGACGAAGTTTTCAGACATCTGTATAATAAGGCATACATATAGCACCTGAAATTATTGCGGGTACTTCTTAGCAGAGAACAGTATTTCAAACCCAGCAGTAGAATTATAAAAAAAAAATACTTTTTAAAAATGCTTATAAATAAGTCTTTTTGAATAAATATTATTTCCATTCTATTCTACGTAAACCGAACACATTTATTTTATTCTAAGTCAATACATCCAATTTATAATCCTGCTGATCTATTCATCATAATCACTTTATTCCACTATTAAACATAACCTAATATATTACTAAAACTAGCAACTATTCAACTAGCTTCTATCATTTTTGGTTACATTAGTATTGTTTTTTTTTTTTCGTTTATTTGAACATAGACCAAGTTTTCGATTCGATTATTATCAATTACGTGAAAAAACTGTTTAATTAATGCAAATTATAATACTCGCATTTTTAGATTTTGTTTCATAAATGATCTTGTGAAATAATAAATTATAATATATAAATATAATAATAATAATAATTCTTCTTAATATAAATAGATTCAAAATTGACGAAGATATCGCGTAACATAAAATAAATATATTCGAATTACAAATCTCCATTTTAAATCAAATTCAAAATCAACCCTTAACAACGTCTTTCGTTAGTTCACATCTAGAGGTATCAAAATTTGAATATAAATAAATTGTATCAGCACAAAACCGCGGCAGTTCCCTCCTCATTCGATTCCCAGGAATTTTCATAATAATAAAATTTCGCTACTGTATTAATATAGTACAGTAGCTAGCCCCTTAACTCGAATTTCTTATGCAAATTCGACTACAGCGTTTCCCACGGGCGTTTATAAAAATTTGCATACCTTGAAGGGTTGAAAGTTATCTACTTAAATCCCTTCTTTAGGATAAATTATGCTAATTGTGCGCAACTACAAAATTAATTATGGGGCCACAGCCTACAGCTGTTTGCTTGGAATGCTACACTTTGCATTCTTCAAATTACTGGTTATTCTTTATATTTATTAACATTTCTAAACATGAATAATAATAAAATAATGGGCAAAATAGTAAATAATTATCCTTTTCTTATGGTTTTTACTTAGTATTTTTTTCGGTTAATTTCAATAGTTATAAATTAACAAAATTTATTTATTTATTTAAATATATATATTTTATAATATATAATATATATATATATATATATATATATATATATATATATATATATATATATATATATATATATATATATATATAGTAAATAGTCTTAGTACATGTTTTTTTTTTTATCAACCTTTGTATTATTATTTAATAAAATTTTTGTCTTTTAAAATTGGTTACTAAATAGCAACGCATGAGAGGCATCATTGACAATGTTGATGTTGATGTTCATGTTTATAGGCGACGGTTACTAATATCTATCAGGTGGGCCGTCATCTTGTTTGCCATTCTAAATTGCATAAAAAAAATTATGCCAACAGTAAATACATTTACAGTGTACAAACATTGCAGGAAGAATTTACCATAAAATTAAATTATATAATAATTGTTATGAAAAAGATATATGAAAAGAAGACAATTTCAAGATGATTTTAGAAGACTACGTAGAACAGAAAAAAGAAAA